AGAGAGAGAGAGAGAGAGAGAGAGAGAGAGAGAGAGAGAGAGAAAGAAAGAATTTATTTGTGTATACCAATGGTACCTGATACTAAACCCAAGGGCACTTTACCATTGAATAACATCCCCAGTCCTTTTTATTTTTTAATTTTGAGACAAGGTCTTTCTAAATTGCTGCTGTTCTCCATCTAATGGATGGGTAGGAAAGCCTTTTTTTTTCTTTTTAACTTTTTGTTTGAAGTATAATATCCACGCAGAAAAGTGTAGACTTTCTAACTGTACAGCTCGCTTAGTGGAAGAGCCCTTTCTAAATGCAAAGCCCTCACCCATCAGTAGTTTCTTTGCACTTAAAAACTAACATTTTTCATTGAAAATTATTGGCAATGTTCTCTCTCTCTCTCTCTCTCTCTCTCTCTCTCTCTCTCTCTCTCTCTCTTTTTACTTGGAATTTCATTGTTTTGGGGTATTTTTTGGTCAGGATGTGAGATAATAGGCTTCAATGTAAGACTTGTTTAAGAAAATTTAGCTTTAGGTTATAGATGTAGCTCAAGGGTAGGGCACTGGCCTAGTATGTGTGAGGTCCTAATTTCAATTCCCAGGACCCAAAACAAAAACAAAAAAACATTAAGAAAGTATGCTTTAGAAATAGATCTTCTGAGTTTGGGTTCTTTTTAAACCATCTCTAAAGATTAAGTTAGGGAATATATTCAATGTGCCTGGCATATAACATATCATTAATGAATTTTGTGACTGTTGATAAGGCCATTTTTTTAAAAAAAATAATTGAGATGTCTAGTTCATTGATGTAAAGGCAAGAAGGTTTTCAGGAGTTAAGAGTGGACAACCGCATTTCATGTCTCTCCTTAAACCAAATGTGCTATTGACCCTTTTGGCTAAAGGAAGCTACGTGGCCAAACAGGGATATCATAAGAGAAAGAGCTATCTTAGGTGTAGATACAAGAAAGGAAATTAGTCAGGCAGTCATTTTGTAAACAGTATAGCACAGCCCTAATTTAAATCTTATTAGGCATGAACAGAGTGCATTAAGGAATGAGTAGGATTTAGACAGCATTCGTTTTTAGTAGATACTATGTAGTTTATTATTTCCTCTAATGGTATGCAGCATTCAAAAACTTTAATGAAGAGAGAAGATATGGTTAGTTATTTAAGGTTTGGTATAATCAGAGTTGGGTATGTAAGAAGGAACTCTAAGTATTGCTAACAGGGATAATTATGAGGTCAGCTGGGTCTGGATACTAAAAAGGTATAAAGGACCACAGCAAATAGGACTAGGTACTGAGGAGGTTATGAAGGCAAGTAAAGACTCAGTGAAAGAAGTAGGTTGAGGAAAAGAGCTTTAGGTGAGCAAGAGATTTGAACAGTTGGGGGATGCTTTGGATGTGTGTATATTGATGAAATCCAAGATGCTGTAGAAGAAATAAAGCTGAGAAACAGGAACCCTAATGCCAAGATCTTTCAAAGATTGAGTGAATGTCTTAGTAAATCTCAGATTCATTCTAGTGCTAGAATCCTTTCTTCTATGAGTCAGGATGATATCATAAAGGTGGATGAGGGTAAAGAGAAAAATTCTGAACTTTTGAAGGCATTGAACAAAGTGGGAGAGGTCCAAGAGTTTAACAAGAACTACAGAAGAAAGAAACATGAAACAATTTGATGCAGATGGTCTGTATGAAATTCATAACACTTATTTTTCTATTTAGAAAAAATATTTTCCTTCCTATATACTATCTTATTTTTTAAATTAAAAAAATTTTAATTTTTTTTTTTTTTTGGTGCTGGGGATTGAACCTAGGGGTGCTCAGCCACTTTAGCCACAACCCCAGTCCCCCTTTTTTTTTTTTTTTTTTTTTTTTTTTTGAGATAGGGTCTTGCTCAGTTGCTTAGGGCCTGGCTTTGAACTTGCAATTATCCTGTCTCAGCCTCCTGAGTCACTGGGATTATAGGTGAGTGGCACACGCCCGGCCTATCTATTTTAAAAAGTTTATTTATTCTTCTCCCTTCTATTCAGATTAGTATTTTATTTGCTTAGACACTCTTAGCAAATAGGAAGTGCAATTGAAGAAGTACAGAAGGAGATAGTATTATTGGTTTTTACAAATGATTAAAGTTAGGAAAACATTTGAAGATTCTCAACTGTTCATTTTCTCTTAATTGAAAAGCTTCTTATAACATTAGATAATGAAGAAATCTGACATTACTTGTAATCCAACTATTAAGTCATAAAGACAGAATCTTTTAAAATAAAATGTTAATTCTAATAACACAACAAAATTAGAGGGGGGGGTTTCATTGTGTTGTCCAGACTAGTCTCAAATTCCTGAGTGCTTGCCATCCTCCTGACTCCACTCCCAAGTAGCTGGGGCTACAGACACTTGCCACCATGCCTGGCTAAAGTTTGCTTTATAACTTCAAAAAACTGACTGCTTCCCAGTTTACAACAACACAAACTGCTAGTTATTAAAGTTTATATGCTTTTTATACATTTTTTACTTTTATAAAAATATGGAATCATAATTAAAATGGTATGGTTATCTGTCATTTATCTGTAAAATTATAGCTTGGAAGGGCTCTTAAAATCCTTTCTACCTTATGTAACCAAAACAATACATTTCATTAAAATAGGTATAAAGTACTTCTTCAGATTCATGCTGTACATACTTACATGATTATAATAGGATGAATGAAACTTATTTTTCCAGTTTTCATAACAATTTCATAATAAACTAATTTGATATGTGTACTTTTAACAATATTAAACATAGTTCTTATAAATTGTATAGCCTATATATTTGAATATTTTAAATATAAATGATACCCAATGTTTGCATTAATATTTTAGTATACTGAAAAACAATTTTTTTCTGACATTGTTTCTTGGATTTTTAAAATGAYTAAATATTGGGCTTTAATTTTCATAAAGTACTTCTTAGAAGGAATTTTGATACAATATACTTTATCAACCACTACACAAAGAGTTATCTTGTAGAATACTGATTTGACATCTCCCCAGGATTAACACAGGAAAGACTGATGATCCAGTTGGTTTTGATAGATTTTTTGGTGTCTTAGTTAAATTACTTTAAAAGTTTTTTTCTACTGTAGGATTTTAAAAAATATCTTCTGTCCAAGTTAATTTTTATTTTTTGTGTTTAGGATAAATTTATTTACCATTCGGCTCCAGTTGAAAAATCACACGGCAGACTGCAAAGTAGAACATCTAGATCACAAAAGAAAAAGTCCAAGTCACCTGAGAGAAATAAATATTGTGTAAATGCAAAAAGCTACGAACAGCCTACAATTTCTTCAAAATCACACTCTCCATCTCCCTACACAAAAAGACGCATGTGTGAGCTATCAGAAGACACCAGGCGGCGGCTGGCCCATTTAAATCTGGGGCCCTATGAATTCAAAAAAGAAACAGATAAACCTCCATTTGTGATTAGACATGTATGTACTCTCCTAAGCATTTCCATTTGAAACCGACCATATCTGTTGTGCCACTAGAATGTTTTTCTAAAATGTCTTTCAATTTCTAGTTTGTATTAATAATTCTTTCCTGAACTGGGTTAGCCAGTAATCTAAAATGAAAAATTAACATAAAAGAACATACTTTTTCAGTCTTTAAACCTGACAGAGATCAAGCTCCATTTTGAATGCCATGTTAACTCCTCTGAGTATCCATTTCCTTTCTTCTTATACAGCAGTTTAATAACTCTACAAATTGAACTTGGTTATCATTGACATTAACACCAAAATGAGACTAGGATTTTAAAGGAGGACCAAATATTCTTTTTTTTTTTTTTTTTTTTTTTAAGAGAGAGAGAGAGAGAATTTTAGTATTCATTTTTTAGTTTTCGGCGGACACAACATCTTTGTATGTGGTGCTGAGGATAGAACCCRGGCCACACGCATGCCAGGCAAGCGCGCTACTGCTTGAGCCACATCCCCAGCCCCAAATATTCTTTATGAAAAAGAAGACCCCCACCTACTCCAGCTTTTTAAAAGTTTTGTAATGGAAAGTTGGTGTCCTTTGAAATTATGTCCTTTGAGAAGGCTTTGTATAATGAATCTTTGATGCAAATCAGTGTTTGATAGGGATGCATAGGAAGGCCTATGTTGACTTAAGGGCAGGGTATACTGATCTTTCTATAGAAGCATGCTTTTCATATGGTTGAAATTTAGAACCTTGTTCCCTTGTAGTAGTCAAATGATTCTGGCTAAGTTTAAGGGTGTATAATTGGAATATTCAATAAAAGACTATCAGAATCTTCATAGATTTCTGAATTTTTATAAAGTGTTTTAACCTTAAAAGCAATTCTTTACCAAAAGCTTTCAAATTAATAAAGAATACTAAGTAATACATTACTATATATAGTTTCAAACCTCAAGATTTTTCTGTAACAGCAAGAACACATTTTGGATAGGTCTAAAATATTTTCAAGTCTCTAAATTCTAAAATTAGTTGATCCAACATATAAATATACTTCTTTGGTTACCTAATATTATSCTTTTTGAACATGCACCATCTGAAAGCTCAGATTTTTCTTTTAATGACAATTTAAATGTTCCTTAAGCAACATTTTATTCCACCTTTATATTTCAACTATCAATTCTTTATTCTTTTAAACCAAAGTAATGGATTTTTAACTGTAAAAAATAAAATTTATATTATAATAGATACATTTAAAAGATAATATTTTATTAAGGTTTTTATGATTACATTTGTCTGAATTTTATAGATTTTGATTATATGTTCTGGTCACATTTTTTGTTTTCATTTGATAAACATTCAAATTTTTTTTCTTTTTTCTTTTTTTATTACTATACAGTGGTAGTGTTTTGTTGTATAATTGATGGCAATTTTAGAATGACTTTCATTTTATGTCTACCCACAATTACAAATTAATTTGAATGAATGTGTTATATTCTAATATGAGTAAATAATACCATCTTAATAAAAGTATCTGTACAAAGTAACAAGTTTATTGGGTTACACATAAAAAATATTGGAGAAATGACTACTCTTAAATGTTTGTTTTATTATTACTTTTCATGGCAGTGTTAAAAATGAGTATTCTAATATTGCTTGGCATAAACTTTGCAATTTTTATTTAAGTGGTTTTTCCCTCACATTTTCTTTGAATAGAAGTACATTCTTCTAAGTCTACACTTAGACATTATTGAATAGAAAACTGGATTTTTTCCAAATGTATGTATTAAAAAGAGTTATTTTTCCTCTAGGACCATTTATTGTTTAAAAAAACACCAGCAAATTGGTAACCGAACTTTAACTTGATACATGCATATTTAAAATGTTAACACTTTTAGGAAAGACAAATAGTTCATGGTATGAAAAAATAATCTATCTTTAAATAAGCTGATTTAAGGAATAAATTAATATGCTTCCAAACTGTCACAACCATCCTAGAAGAGTTATACAATGCCTTTTTAGTTTTCATTTATGCATGTAATTTTTCTATTGTGTTAAAATATACCTATTATAAAATAGATAATTTAACTTTTAAAATGTACAAATCAGTGGTAGTAAGGATATTCACAATGTTGTGCAACCATCTGGTTTCAGAACATTTTGAGCACCATAAATAGAAAACTTGTACTCATGAAGTATTCACTCCCCATTAATCCCTAACCTTGACCTTGGACACCACCAATCTGCTTTCTCTCTATGAATTTGCCTGTTCAATCATTTCATGTGAATGTACTCTTACAATATTAGCTTTTTATATCTGGCATTTTTATCTTATCACAGTGCTTTGTGTGTGTGTGTGTGTGTGTGTGTGTGTGTGTGTATAGTTTTTTTTTTTTTCCCCTTGTTATTGTTTGGGTTTTTTGTTTATTTGTGTTTCTGGTGCTGGAGATCTAACCCAGGGCTGTTTGCATGATAGGCAAACACTCTACCCTAAACTACACATCCAGCCCTGTTTTGTTTTTCTTATAGCCATCTTAGTATGTATGGTGTCTCACTGTGATTTTGGTTTGCATTTCCATTATGACTAATGAGGTTGAGCATCTTTTCCTGGGTTTGTCTGTGTTCTTTGGAGATTTGTCTCCTCAAGCCTTTTGTCCATTTTCTGCTATAGTTTGTTGTTGAGTTGTAGGATTTATAGATGCTTTCTCTGACTCCATGGGTTGGTTTTCTACTCCTTTTTTGGTGCACAAAAGTTTTAATTTTTTATTAAAATTATTTTAATAATTTTAATTATTTTTTACACATTTATATCATTCTGTTTTTAGTTTAAAAATGCGTTTGACTGTTATTACCTGTAAATTATAAAGCACTTAGCATGCTGGGCTTTGAACACAGCCAAGTAGAAACAGTTTGAATTCAAAACATATATGTTAAGGAGATAATCAGCCAATGGATAAGTTTGTTTTATAAATAAGTTTGATTGCTCTTTTTTAAACATTGTAATGCAAAACAAACAAGGCAGTGATGTAGTAGATATTTCAAGTGCAAATCTGTTCATATAAAGTCAACATAAATATTTATGTGTATATATAAAATATATATGTATATATATAAAATTCGGGGGAATTTAATTTCAATTTGTTTAAAAATGTATATCAGAATACTTGACTAAACTTGTAGTGTGTGAAGACTGGGAATGTTGAAGCTCTTTTTTTTTTTTTTTATCTTGAAAATCTTGCTTACTTTAGGTTGATCCTCCAAGTCCCAGGACTGATACTTTATTTGGATCCTCTGGTAGAGACTGTGAAAGAGATGGATGGTCCAGGATGCACAATGGTAAGCTAGGAGTTAAATTTCTTCATTAATTTAGTTATCTGAGGTACAATTGGGACTTTAACTTGGCATCGGTTATGGAAAGCAGATACTTTGCTGTTTTATTGTTTGATGTGGTAAAGTATAGCTTTTTATGACATGTTGARCATCCATATTGGTACTCCCTAAAAATAAGAAAATTTCTGTGTTGCTACAAACCATGTCCTTCTTTGAGATTAAAAATATTTTTAGTATTTTAAAGATTATGATATCTTATAGTAAAATGTAACTTGGTTAATTTTGTTCTATTCAACATTTTCTTTTTGTTCTTTTCAACATTTCATTTCATTATGGGACACTTTTCTCTTCCTAACCTGAGTTAAATAGAATTAATCAAGTTGTAGAACAGTTTTTGGGATACACCGTAGTAGAAAGATCAGGGTTATGGGTTTTGACCCTATATTTAGATAGATATTTGAATGCTTGTTCTACCACTTATGATAAACTTGACATTCTTAAAAAATAATTTAACTCTTTTGTTAATCAACATATTATATAAAGAAGGAGTATAATATGGGAAATGTTACCATACTATATGCCTTAGCATGTAAGTATAGGGATCAGCTTTCAATATAATTATAAGAATTATTATATATTTTTCTAAAAAGATAAAAATCTGTGTAGTTTTGATTTACATTTTCAAACATTTTTTTCATTTTTTTTGTAATTTGTATTGAAATATCTATTCAGGTCTTTTACCTATTTCTTGATTATTTGGTTGTTTTTTCTTTTCTTTTCTTTTTTGTTTTGTGTGTGTGTGTTATGTTTTTTTGAATTCTTTCTATATTCAGAATATAGAAAGAACTCATTTCCTCTTCATGGAAAATTAGCTGGCAAAGATTTTGTGGCCTCTCTCTTCACATTCTTGTAGCCTCTGWAGCCTCTCTCTTCACATTCTTGTTTCCTTTGCTGTGGAGAAGCTTTTTAATTTGATGCCGTCCCACTTATTGAACCTTGGTTTTACTTCTTGAGTGTTAGGGGGCTTGTTAAGGAAGTTGGTTCCTTCACCATATGTTGGTGTTAACCTTATATTTTCTGTAATGTTCTTTAAGTTATAAGTTTTTTTTCTTAATCTTTTGCCCCAGGCATTAAAGTTAGATAGCTTTCTCCTTAAGTTCAATATAAAGATGATTTTTATGAAGAAATATAAATAACACTGTATAACAAAGGATGTTTGACTGTTAATATCTGGAGACAGTGGCTAGTGCATTAATTCAAGTATTCACTAGCAGCCTTTAAGGTTAATTTACTACTTACAGGAAAAGTGGCTCATGTCTATAAACCCAGTATCTCAGGAAGCTGAGGCAGGAGAATTAAAAGTTTAGAGGCCAGCCTGGGCAACTTAGTGAGACCCCAAGCAACTTAGTGAGACCCTGTCTCAAAATTAAAAAGTAAAAAAGGACTAGGGAGTAGGTAAGTGGTAAGTGCCCTGGGTTTTAATCCCTAATACCAAAAATAAATAGATAGATAAATAATTTACTACTCACTGAAAAAGTAATAGAAGAAAAATGAAATACAGTGAAAGAAAAATAGAATCATAACATGTAGAGAGCTAACTTGTTTCTAAATTAAAGTGTAGAATCTTTTTTTTTCAAATGAGGAAATGAGACATTCTTTTCTGAGAACATGCAGTTTATGCTTATTTTTTTATTGTTTTTTAGCATTAACAGGACATAGATATGTGGTAATCAATAAATCTTTTATATCCAGAATAGCACATTATGTGAAATAAGAAACAGATGTTACACTGTTTCCCTTCTTGGAAGAAACGTATGGACTTGGAAAAAGCTTTATGAACAACCAATGGAAAGTAACTCTCCCATCATATATGTGTTTGCATATGTTTTGGATAGGGACATGAAGATGGACTCATTTGCATTCCCTGATAATTTGTATATTGAAGCCCTAACACCTGAGGTAATGGTATTCAGAAACAGCCTAGATGAGCTGATGAGAGTGGGGCCCTCATGGTAGGATTATTGTTCTTTTAAGAAAAGACCAGGTTCACTTAGCATAATCTGCTCTAATGCCATCCATTTCCCTCCAAATTCTATGATTTTTGTCCTTTTTTAATGCAGAGTAATACTCCATTGTGTATAAATGCCACATTTT